TCATTGAGTAGGCCTTACCTTACTTTATGACGTAGTCTCCACATCTTTTTTGACATTTCTGGTATCATTACAGCAGCTTCTTGATGCCTTTCGCGTAGAAGCTTTCGCCTTGACTCCAAAACCAGTCATTGACAGCGATCTGCACTTCCAAATCAGTTGCTTTGCGTAGGGAAATTTTCCCCCAATCCTTCAAACTCTCTTACTTTAGCTTCATGTGACTTTCATTTGTTCCCGAGCGGGAAAACTTCCACAATAGAAGCGATTTTCAACTGATTCAGAGGTACAGATAGCTGTCAATGACTGGTTTCAGAGTCAAGGCGAAAGCTCCTATACGCGGAGGGCATCAAGAAGATGCTGTAATAATACCAGAAATGTCAAAAAAAGATGTGGAGACTACGTCAAAAAGTAAGGTAAGGCCTACTCAATGAAAACTTTAAAATTCCTTGTTGATGTGATGTATACAGGCGATAACCCGAGTCTTCAATAATCGACTCTCCGCGCATCCTCACCTTGGAGGTGGGCACGCGGCGACAGGAGGTTGTCTCTGTAAAATGAAGTTTACTCGCGAATCCTTTGACCGATTTTCAAACACTTGAGTTTGTTTTAAAGCTTAGAGTATGCCTAATATGTGCCTTTTTACCGATTTGATTTTTCTCGCTTCGCTCGGAAGATACAAGGTAAGGAACCTTACAGTTTGGATGACCCTCGTACGTTACACCCTTTATCCCTGCAACCCTTTACGTGTAAGTCATATTAAACAAGCAGTTATTTCAATATAGTATTTTATTAATCCCATTACATAAATGACTGGCTACGGATTTAGACAAAATTAAAAATATTTTCAAAATGTGGATATGTTTGATTGGTAGTTAGTCCAATCGTGGGCGTTTGGTAGCTCGGTGAGACGAAGTTCTAACTTTTAGTGACGGACAGGTGGATGGGCCTGGTTCTCCTCCATAGACATCACGGCCGGCGTTGATCTCCGACTCTAACACAGTATCCAGAATATGAAGCTAGAAGTCAGACGAAAAAAAAAGAAAAGGAAAGGAAAGAAAAGAAAAGGGGGAAAAAAGGAACCTAAACTGATGGAAGATTAAAATTTTCGCATCACTAATCCCAAATAGAAAAAGCATTCTGGTTTCCTGTATCTAGCAGTCTGGTGTTCATATATGGTGTGTTTTTCTGATAATCCTTACCGAAATTTCTGGTAATGATTATCAGGAATACATGTCACTAACGAACACCTGATTGTTTAATAAAGCTTGTCATGGTATTTTTTCTATGCAAGAAGTTTTTGATAACAAGCGAACAGTGTAAAAGAAATAACAAACCTTTAGGTTCATTGTTTATTTCTGGGTGTGGGCTTTCTGGAAGGTCTTTCAAAATCTTCTCCTGTACTTGGCTCGTCGAAAAAGTCATAAGCTTCAACATCATCCTCTTCCTCAGAGTCCGCTAAAGCAATTTCAGGCATGTTTTATCGCATGTATCACTGCAGTTAATGCACAATGCTGAGCATTTAAGCCCACCTTTCCTGCAACCGCACGCCCCTCGTTTTGCACTNTTCAAAATCTTCTCCTGTACTTGGCTCGTCGAAAAAGTCATAAGCTTCAACATCATCCTCTTCCTCAGAGTCCGCTAAAGCAATTTCAGGCATGTTTTCGCATGTATCACTGCAGTTGATGCACAATGCTGAGCATTTAAGCCCACCTTTCCTGCAACCGCACGCCCCTAGACAACTCGTTTTGCACTTGCAGGATTATCAGAAATACACACCATATATGAACACCAGACTGTTTGATACAGTAAACCAGAATGCTTTTTCTTTTTGGGATTAGTAATGCAAAAATGTTAATCTTCCTTCAATTTAGGTTCCTTTTTTTCCCCCTTTTTCTCTCCTTCCCTTTTCTTTTCTTTTCTTTCCTTTCCTTTCTTTTCCTTTTTTTTTCGTCTGACTTGTAGCTTCATATTCTGGTTACTGTGTTAGAGTCAGAGATCAACGCCGGCCGTGATGTCTATGGACGGGAACCAGGCTCATCCACCTGTCCGTCACCAAAAGTTAGAACTTCGATGCACCGAGCTGCCAAACGCCCACGATTGGACTAACTCATCTACTTATCAAAGATGTCCACATTTTGAAAATATTTTTGATTTTGTCTAAATCCGTAATCAGTCATTTATGTAATGGGGTTAATAAAATAATGCATTGAAATAACTGCTTGTTTAATATGACTGACACGTAAAGGGTTGCAGGGATGCAGGGTGTTAAGTATCTGATGGCGCAAGATCGATATCTCCCGCTGCCTTCTTCGCGCTCCCATTCTCGCGATTTTCACGTTAAGTGTACATATGTAATACCAATCTCTTGCAAATTTAATCGTCTTTCGACAGAAGTGGCGGGATTTTCGATATTTGGAACAGAAAAAAAGTTATGAGCGAAAAATGGGGAAAAACCGTAAATTTTAGTCGTTTTTTTCAAAATGGCGGCCGGGGGGAGGGTCGGATCTGTCAGGCAAGTCGAAATTCGGATTCTACGACCCAAAAAACATAAAGTTAGCCCATAATTGCTAGTTCGACTAAACTTTCCGTCAAACCTCCTATTTCTAGCTCTATTGCCTGGACTATCTTGATTCCTGTAACCTCGAGATAATCCTTGGTTCTCAAGATGCTTGCTACGGGCCAAATATATCGAACAACAGAAAATGCGTGGAGAAAGTGTCCCATGAATGTCATAATTCACTTCCTGGAACCTCCACAACCTCCTTTACTATTGTTTGCAGCAAAATGAAGATAACTTTGAACATTTGTCGGAATAACAGGTCATCAGGTATAAGATCTTCCACTTTAAAAAATAATAATAATAAAAATATTGCTTAATTTTTCTTTTCTTCTTTTTTGACGATGAGGACCTTGAACATTACTAAAGTATCCCAAAGGAGGAGCGCTTTTTCACATCGGCTTCATTTTTTGAAAGCACACTGAATCCTGTGCATGTGATGTCGCATACTCCAACGATTGAAGGCGTCCCGCTTGACAACTTTAAAGTCAGCAAATTATTGCTCTTACTTGGCCAAATAAAGGAAAAAAAGTTGATACCACTGATTTCCTTAATTTAGAGGGTATTTAAAAGATAACACTTTCTGGAATTTTCATTTTTCGCGTTTCCTCAAATTTGCCGCCACGTTGAATTTTCCGAAATTTTATTTTGAAATAGTGTCATCTAAACTTGTGACAACGTCAGTTGTTTTTCATTTTCCTAAAAGGCACTTTTCAAACTTTTCATTCCTGGTTTGTTTTTGTTTTTTCAATAATTTGGAGCTCAACGGTGATTTTCTGAATAGTGGTCAATTTAAAATTTTGACCGGCTGTAACTTTTGAACGAGTGATCAGATTTTAATTTTTTGTGCGCCATTTTTCTTGTCTTTTTAAGTTCTTTTTAACCATATCTAAAAAAATGGGAGTTGCTATTTGAATTTTGAAAGTTGCCCCCCCTTGGGGCCCCCCAGGGGGGTCCACCAAGAAAAACCCCCCATCGAAAAATTTCCCCCTCAGGATGATGAAGAATGCCACAAACCGCGACCTTATATCTTTTTTTGTTCAAAAATTATACCCACTTTTCAGTTACTTTACGGACACCCGGTATGGTACAAATGCACGAAATGGTATTGAAATTTGTAGGGGCTGTTTTTTATGAGAATGCAAATAGGGATGTAAATGCTGCTTCCTTCTGATTCTTTGGCACAACTCCGTAATTCCATCATCGTAAATTACATTTATCGCTCGGGTCAGATACAGCCAGCTAGACATAACCTAACCTCACTCATAATCCTCATCGTTCAGTAAGAAGAAATTACTTGAACATTTTAAGAGAAACTAATGAAGTAGTGTACGTGGCTCTAACAAAACAAGTGGGACGTAATATAAGTGTGTAAATAATAATTGGGATCTACAATGAATCGAACTTTAAAATTAAATCTATTCATTAATCACAACTAGTTGCAGTAGTGGTTGGAGGTTGGTAGCGACTGTAGCGTCGAGGGGAATTTCGTTCCTGAAACTCGAACGGACCTGAGCAGAATCAACCAATAGCATTGAACCACTACCGGTTTTTTTTCCAAATTCAAAAAATTATAGGTAAATTTTTGAAAGTTATTTGCCGATGCTGAATTATCCGAGCATTGAAACCATATTAAATGTGGTAGAAATGAAATCCTCATATCCTCAAGCATGATCCTTTGTAGGTTCCATTGTAATCGGTCACCGTGCAAGCGAGGAATCTGTTATGAAAGGTGGTAATGGCGGGGAGGTCGGCAGTCAGTTTAGTCGTATTTTACGTAATTTATCTTCTTAAACATTTTGAATGTTAAAATAAAGTCAAACGCGGCACACGCGGTTATACGATGAGTCGGTAGGTACCCCTTTTACGAGTCTAGGGTTTACCGTTATCGCGGAATCAGAGTAACTCTCTGAGGACCCTGAAATTCAAATTTCCCGCCAAACGGCCCCTAGTAAAGTAAAATTTTCGTAGTTTTGGGTACTTAAGTGCTCATAACTTTTTGAAAACCCAATGGATTTTAATGAGACCCTCATACGCCATCCGACTAACTTAGCTGCGTCCATAGACACCAAGATCGTTGGAATTCGTGCCGCCATTTGCTGTGAATTCCGTTCTAAATCGAATCAATTTTCAGATTAAGGGAGTTACGTGTGTCTAAGAGTGTCGGCCACCACTTTGCTATCGGGACTTCTGTAGGACGTCATTTTTCTCGACCGAGGGTGGCTACCGCCACTCTTGATTTGTATTTTTAGCTTGGCAGGGTGTTCTACCTACTTCCATGATATGTTTTGGTGACACATTCAAACGTAGTTCATTCAATCGTTTCTAAATTGTACCTACGAAAAACTTGTCGCGGATTATGTATCATTATAATCGTTTTGAAAATATCTCCTTGTTTCCTCGTCCTATTGAAGTATTCTATCTTCTGTTCATTTTTCGCTTCCAGTAAAATTGAATGGAGGCCGGCGAGTCATGGGAATCCTTCGAGGTTTTGATCCTTTTATGAATTTAGTAGTGGATGAAGGAATTGAAGAAAAGAAAGACGGTTGTCAAAATTCTATCGGCATGGTGGTAAGTAAAATTTTAAAGATTGCATGAATGAAATAACAACGAAATTCAGACGAATAATCCGAGAACTCCACATCTTGTTTTCATAATTAAAAGAATGACCCAGTTTCCTCGATGGCAAATTTTGTTATTGTTATATTGCTTCACTGAAGCAGTGAACTTCACATTCGGAAAACTGCATTGCTCCGAAATTAGCGAAAAATGTCCGTCTGATCCGTTATTTTTCACAAACGTGATGTTCCAGCCAAGTTTGTAGCTCCACGTATCGTTTATCTTTTCTTCATATTAAATGTTAGATTTGAGCAATATATCAAGGAATCATCCGATCTACTTCAGACTTATGGATTTCGATGGTCCTTCGAAATATGAAAAAGAAATTTTATTTCCAGGTCACAGCTCTTTCTCGTTAAAATCCTGTTTGAATAATTTTTACTCAACAAAATCAAACCGACACTGTTTCTGTTTTACCAGCAAATGCATTTGTTTTATTTTTCTTATTACATGTCTTTCCTGGTACTTGCTGACTTTAGTTCTTTTTTATTTACTTTTATTATTTTTCCCAATTTCCTGATCACAACTACAGAGGTCCTAAAACCTTATTAGACAAAGTTTGTACGTATATTTCCTTTTTGAATTTTAGACCAGGATTTACACGTTTTCGTTTAATTCGGTCAGTTAAGAGGAGAAATTAAAAACAAGCGTATATTTGGCGTGGTGAGTCTTTATGACCCCCTGAGTCCCCCAAAAACAGTCCTAAGGAAAAATATCCAGAGCCCCTAACTCCTTTTTGAAAAGGCCATCTTCAACGAACTGAATTTTACTAGTCATACTAATTGGGAGTGTTTTTTTAATATTACTGATACCAAGGCTGCAATGGACTGATTTTATTCTGTGCTAGATGATGCCATCTGTTGTTCGTTGAGAAAATGCATTATAAAATCCAACTTCCCAAAGGTTCAATTATGATATAATTTGCGTGCTCGGTCGACAGAAATAATATGGAAGGTAAGGTAAAAATTAAGAAAAAGCTGATTTTTGGCATAATGAGTCCTTATGACCTTTAAAGTCCCCCCTTCCAAAAAAAAAAGTCCTCATAGATAGCGTGACGGGTATGGGTTTTTTATGAAGGGAGGGGGGGGGAAGGTAAGTGCCCTAAAATGGGTTTTCCGCCCTTCGCACGAAAACGGTTGCTTGTATAACCACGTATAGCACCATTTTCTGAATAATCATGAAAATTTGGAGCGATGCGACTCTGTCCATTTTCTACAGCTCCCCGATGCCCTCTAAAATTCCATTAACATCATTTCGAGGCATATTTTTGCCGATTATACTGCAGGGAAAGTTTGATCAGGGCTGTTCAACAACTAATGCTGCTATATACATATGTCACTCTGAACTGTTGTTACGATTCATCGTAAGCTCATTGACTACTTGTCTCGAGCCCAAGTCCGGGAAGCGAGGGGGAGAACCCTCGAACATCGGTAGAAAAAGCACTTATTGAGAGGGGGTGTTCAACCTTGTTTCTCAAAACAGAATTGCATTACTATGAAAATGATTCAAGATTCAAAGCACTGGCTACGTGAAAAAAATAAAAATAATCCGAAAGAGTGAAGGGGGGGGGGGTAGAAGGATGGCTCTTACTTTTCGACTTTCAGAAAATGAAATGTCTAACCTCCCAGAAAGTTGTGTCATGGTATGAATGAATCTGTAAAAAATTTCAACTGGAACTTAAAATTTTAGACAGTCGCTTTTTTCCGCCACTTCGAGAATTTTTCCCCCCACCGAAATGATGTTACAGCTTTGAAACTTTTAAAGGTAACACAATTTTTAGAGTTCTTTACGAGAAAAATAACACAATTTTTGAATGCCCTTTTCTCCCCTTCGAAGGGGTTATATTGTGCGATTTCACCATTTTTTCGTAACGTTCTCTTCCGACGATGTGCCATTTTTCTATCTTTAAAATGTTGCTGTGGCTTTGAAATTCTTGGAGGTAAATCACTTTTTAAGCTCCTTTACGGAAAACGTATCACAATTTACCTCATAACTTGGAAAATGCCCATTTTTTCCCCTTCAAAGTGGCCACATTGTGCGTCTCCACACTTATCACCCCCCCCCCCTTCACCAAAAAACCCATACCCGTCACGCTATCGGTGAGGACTTTTTGGGGGGACTCTGAGGGTCATAAGGACTCACTGTGCCAAGAATCACTTTGTTCTTAATTTTTACCTTAACTTCCATTTGATTCCTGGACTGAATCTATTCTTTACCATGACGAGGCAAGCAAATTAAATCATGTTTGATCCTTTGGAAAGTTGGATTTTAAAATGCATGTTCTCAACTAGCTACAGATGGCATCATCTAGCACGGAATAAAAGCAGTCCATTGCAGCTTTGGTATCAGTAATATTAAAAACATACTCCCAGTTAGTATGACTATAGTCCAGTCAAACTACAGGGTGTCCCAAAAGTCCGTACTCCCCCCCCCCCCCC